TCTATATTTTTTCAATAATGGTAATTATTTTTTCAGTGAAATAAACGTTTTTATGTAAGGTGTTTATTCGTATTTACATTACAATAACATTATATGTAACAACCACAGTTTCATTTTTGTTTTTCTTTTCTTTTTTTTTATTTGTTCCCTTTTCAGGGTTACGTGGAAGAACATTTTCCGTGATATATTTCATTACGGACGATGAACTTCGCCCTTTATTTCAATTGTAAGTTAAATATATAAGGTATGTTGTTTTTTGTTTTGGTTATGAAATAGTAAAAGCGATATTATTATTATTATTATATTAAAATCATGTGGTACTAATTATTGTTGACGTGCTACGGCACTGGAATTGAAAGTAGTCCTGGTGTGGCTTGAAAATAAAGCAACTAACCAGATACGTTTCTGTTAATCGTTTATAGTTGTCACAAAGGTGATTTTTTTTCAAGTATTTGTGTTGTCAGTCATTAGTTTCATTATGAATAATAATTTCGTGAAAACCAGAAGTGAAAATCTACTTGTAAAATACAGATTATCAGAATGTTGATATGAGAATAGTGAAAAAAATGAGGTAAATGATACTTTTTATTCCATTCTTCTTTATATACACTCACAGACAAAAATATTACAAATTTTAATTCAAGCCTTGATTTCATGTTTATTTCTATTTTTCTGGATCTTTATGCAGTTTTCATTACTAAATGGTATACGCTGAAGTATATATATTTATAGCTCACTTTTAGAATATACTAGTTTTGGTAATAATATTTATTCAGTATAAGCAATAATGACGACAAAATGAAAGTTCTTTAAGGCAACATAATAACAGTTCAGTAATTAGTGTTCCCTAGCTCTAACAATAGCCTGTATCCTCCTGGGCATGCTCTGCAAGGTCTTTGATGGTTTTTTGTGGATTTCGATTAAATTCTTCCTGTGCAGCAATTCTTAATTCTGCAATTGAGTTAGGAGCTGGATTTAGTGTTCGTATGTCTTTTTAGGATGTCCCAAATATGTTCTTTGGGATTTGCGTCAGGCCTGTTTTTTGGCCACTCCACTGCCTCAAGTCCAACAACTTCAAGATACTGGGTGACTGTTTTTGCAGCATGTGCACGAGATTTATCATGCATTAGCATGAAATTGTTGTAACCAATGAAGCCGCTGTAAGGTAACTTTTATTAATAAAACAACGATAAAAATAAAATAAAAACAAGAATAAAAATTAATTGGCGCTCCGGGGCCAATTGTATTGAATGAATACGGAGGTCTTGAATACAGAATTTTTCGACTAATCATTTCACAGTATCAACACTTTTGATCTCTAAACCTAGGAGTTACAAGTACTCATGTAATTTATCATGTCTATGTCGATGAGCTAATAATTTCTTTGTTGACCGAAAGAGACTACCAACATTCTACCAAAAATGGAAACAATATTTTTAAGGTATTTTGGGCAGTAGATTTCATTTTGAAAAGCATTTTTTATTTGCCGTCTTATTACTTATCAGTAAGAAGATTGAAAAATATTTTATTTCTGTTGTTTATTCGATTTCAATAGTAATTATTTCAATGAACAAGAGATAATGTAATTATTCTAGAAGTATAAATTTTTCTTGTTGATTTATAAAATCTCATGTTATAGAAACTCTAATTTTTTGAAATTACGATAGCATTACGTTTTTATGGAATAAATTTTTAAACATTATTTCAATCCGTAGCACTTTGGTTTTGAAGAAAAATTAAACCCTTTTTTTTAAAATAATACCACTTTCCTGCTATCGCCGCGCCGCTTATAATAATAATAATTTGAAGAGCAACAACAGGATATTCAACCAAAGGCATTTCATTTTTACGATTTAACTACACTACAGGCAACCACATGTAGAAAAATACTGCAAACTGAATTTGAAATAAATCAACATGAAACTAACATTAAATATTACATGTTTGCAATATTTATTTCAATTAAACCGCTTACCGTCTGAAAAGAATGTACCGTTTAGATTCTGGTGGAAAAGGTCTCCTACATTCAATATTTGTAACATTTTACATTTCAATAAATTGATGGATGCAGCCGTTACTACGTGGTAGGAAATCATTCTTATACAATTGTATAAGTTTGAAAATGTCCGTATACGACGAAACTGCAGTAACGTTAGTTACAAATAAAAGTGGTAAAAAACATAAAAAGTTTCATTTCTCTTTTCTTTCAGTATTTCACATGAAAATTTTGAATGACCACCACCATAAATATCGCCTTTTTCAATCGTACGAACCACTTAGTGGTTCGTTTATGTAACTCAACTTTTAATCATAACCGTTGTTGGCGACATGTGTAAATATATTTTTATAATAATAAGTCAGAATACACAAACATGAGAAAATGGAAATAATAGAACTCTTGAGATTAACACAATAATAACTTCAAAGCGACTATTAATCAAGGGTGTTGACATGGGACTATCAAATTTCACACGCGACCAATTATGTAAATCGTTCTAAATAACATACATGCATACATTTTTTATTTTTTTGAATCTCGAGGGAGTTGACGGAAAACAAATTCCACAACAACGTATATGACGGGGAGTTTCAGAGTAATACGGACACTCTGGACTTTAAAAAATTGAAATAACTTTTTTTCCTACACATGAAAAAAGGAAAAAACTCAAATTTCACAGATCCTCTATAAGTTCAAGGATTTTTGATGGATTATTTTCAATAGAATCATTTCAAAGTGTTGGAAAAAAGATGAGAATCTAAGAGAAGTACGTCATCATCATTGTACCGATTTCGGTACAAATCAGTAAAAATGGATTTCTATCAATATTCAAAATCTATTTTCGAATTACATTCTTCAGTTAGGCATTATTTTTTCAGTTGGAATGTACATTCTCAATGTTTGTGGGATTCACAAAAAATCAGAGAATGAAAATTGATCAACAAATTTTTAATTTACATATATATTTTTTTCAGGTTTAGATCATAACTTCGGCCCAGCCAATAAAAAATAAAACGACGTCACCTGAGAACTGTTAACATTTATTTCACTTCGTAAGTATATGTATACTCAGAATGTTTGGTTTTTTAAAATAGCTCAACATTAGAGGAAGTATTCTGAATCTGGAAGTGAATGTTTCATTTAAGATATTGAGAGAAATATCGCTTGGTGGATATAATCTACACATTTTCCGAACGAGTTGATTGATCAAAGCTACAACTGAAATCTTAAGACCGTATCCAACATAAACACCACTCGCATACCAGAATAGCAGTTCTTTTATGTCAGAGCAGTATTTGTGTTAGAGTTTATTGATATTTGTTCTTTTTTCTTCTCTTCACCTTGGACATTTTTTATTTTATATAGGAGGAGTACAAAGCCAAAAAAAGGTTTAATGATTTTTCTTCATTTATCGGAGTGACTTTTTATATCATTTGTTAGTATCACATTCTTTTAGTATTTCATGAAATCTAGTTCTGCAGGCTCACCCCCAAATTTATTACCAAAACTTTGTTTTGAAGTGGAGAAGTAAACCGTACAGAGACAATATTTCTTCTGTTTCTGTGTCAAGACTAAATAAATACCGTCTGTATTTTCAGTTCGAATTTTGTTCCCGATATAGTTTTTATTGGTCCACTGAGTATTTCGGTAGTTAATTCATTGTATTATGTATTCATTGACGTTGCACTAATTTCCGCTAATTGGTGACTGGGGAATATAATGGTTGAGTTGCATAACATGATGTCAGAGTTGGCGTAAGCATCTTAGTTTCGAGTCCAAGCAAGAAAACGCAGAGTTTGGGTTTGACGAGTTGAGGGAATTTTCGAATTTGGTGACATGAAAAGAAAATTTATAGTTGAAACTTATTTTGATTATGCAAAAGTTGGTTACTTGAGATGAAAATGGGTCAAATGAATAGGTGAAATTCATCGCTTTCGTCAAAAAAATAAAAAGGAGAAGACCCCATAACGATTTGGGAAAATAGCTAACAAGATTTTGATTTATCATTTGACTCGGTTCTATTATTTTCGACAAATGTCTTATCTGGATAATGAACTTCCGTATGGTTTGTTTCCTATAAGTGTGTATCTACGTATGTTCGGGTCAAATCTATCAACTTGATTTTGAAGAAGTAACCCTCAACTGATTAAGCAGGTATCACCTTAACTAATTGAGCTGAAATTTTGCATACAGGTTTAGTTAGATAACAGTGACGTTATTCTACGGTGGACGACACAAGATGACGGACTAGTTTTTATTTAGTTTTGAGCGCAAGAAGAGATGCGTTACTTGAATATGTTTTGGATTTTCATCAAGTATCGGCCAATTCCATCACATATCTTGAGATTGATACGGTTGACTGGGTATCTTGGGCGATACTTGATGAAACTTCATAACGCATTAAAGTAATACAGAGTCACGTAGATACAAATTTTAAATTATTTCAATATTTACTCTGTTCGGGCAATGATTAAATAAGTTGAATGGTTATTTCAAAAAAAGTATTTCGTCAAGTATGCCTGATTTTTAGGAAGGGAGCGACGATGACGACAACGCTACGAGTATTCTGCCTCTTGACGACGATGATTCTGATTCCTTCGAGTCTGCCGAACCCCCACCGAGGCCGCCACCATTCGCCGGAGCCCCACGCCGAGGCCTACCACATATCGCGCGACCCCTTCGATCCCCACCGGGATTCGGAAGAGTTCAGAAGGGACGCACCCGACGACGGCAAACGCGACTTCACCAGGAGAGACTCGTCGGAGGACGACCCCCTTGTGGTGCAGACGAAGCGCGGTAAGGTGAGAGGTGTCACTGTGACCGCCGTTACCGGTAAGAAGGTGGACGCCTGGCTGGGCATACCGTACGCGCAGAAACCAATCGGGAACCTCAGGTTCCGACACCCAAGGCCCATCGAAAAGTGGGACGGAATCCTAAACACGACCTCCCAATCTACCTCGTGTGTGCAGATAATTGACACCGTCTTCGGTGACTTCGCCGGCTCCAACATGTGGAATCCCAACACGCCGCTCAGCGAGGACTGCCTCTTCGTGAACGTGGTGGTGCCGAAGCCGAGGCCGACCAATGCGGCCGTCCTCGTCTGGATCTTTGGAGGCGGCTTCTACTCGGGTACGACTACCCTCGACATCTACGACCACAACATCATCGTCTCCGAGGAGAATATCATTCTGGTGTCGATGCAGTACCGACTGGCCTCGCTTGGGTTCCTCTACTTCGGCACGTCCGACGTACCCGGAAACGCCGGCATGTTTGACCAAATGATGGCGTTGCAGTGGATCAAGGACAACATCGCCGCCTTCGGAGGTAACCCCAACAACATCACGCTCTTCGGTGAGTCAGCGGGCGCCGTTTCGGTGTCGCTTCACCTCTTCTCGCCGCTATCGAGGAACCTCTTCTCGCAGGCCATCATGCAGTCCGGTACAGCAACGGCGCCGTGGGCTATCATCTCCAGAGAGGAGAGCATCCTACGCGGCCTGCGGCTGGCCGAAGCAGTTGGTTGCCCCCACGACAGGAGCGACCTCTCTTCCGTCATCGACTGTCTCCAGAAGAAAGACCCCATTGAGCTCGTCGACAACGAATGGTCAACGCTGGGGATATGCGAGTTTCCCTTCGTGCCGGTCATCGACGGCGCCTTCCTCGACGAGCACCCGGCGCGGTCTCTCGCCAACAAGAACTTCAAGAAGACCAATATCCTCGTAGGTTCGAACTCCGACGAAGGCAGTTCCTTCATCATGTACCATCTGACGGAGCTGTTCAGGAAGGAAGAGAACGTCTACGTGAACCGGCAAGAGTTCCTGCAGGCCGTCGCCGAACTGAACCCGTACGTGAACCCCATCTCCAGACAGGCCATCGTCTTCGAGTATACGGACTGGCTGAACCCCGACGACCCGGTCAGCAACAGGGACGCCCTCGACAAGATGGTCGGCGACTACCAGTTCACGTGCAGCGTCAACGAGTTGGCCCACAGATATTCCGATACCGGCAATAACGTGTACATGTACTATTACAAGCACAGGAGCATAGCGAGTCCGTGGCCAACGTGGTCGGGTGAGTACTCGTTCACCTTTATGTATTTGTAGTACAATTTAGCTAATCAATTTCTTGGATACATAGAAATGGTGAAAAATTTGAGAGTTCAACCTTTACAAATAGTTCAATCGACGACTCGTCTTCCTCGGAAATCCTCAGAAACAGCCATTATTTAGATTTTTTTTTATTTTGGTTTTTCTCTATTATTTGAAATCAGAAAACTTCTGAATCGGGGAGCAAAAAAATTCTTCGTATATTAATTTAACAACAGTACATTAGATATTCACATGATAACTATGGCAACAACAGTAAAGTTTGTTCGAAGGTGGTTGACAATGTTTCGTCAAGTATTTCATCAGTTCGGACTTCCATATATCTTCCATATAATGTAAATTTGAAATCCCTGAAAAAAAAATTAAAAAGATTTGTTGAAAAAAAAACAATTATATCAAGCAAAAAAAAACTGAAATTACAATGAAATAAAATACAAGCAACAATTGGAAAATCAAAAAATTGAATTATTAATACGAGATGAAAATTCAAAATTATTAACAATAAATGAAAATTAAAAAATTTAAAAAATCTTGCCAAGTTAATTCACGATGTTTCGATTGTTAGTATCGACAATCGAAGATGAAAACAATCGATTGTGGATACTAATAATCGAAATCTTTTAATTTTTCACTTTTCATTTCTTGTTAATAATTTTTAATTTTCATCTCGTGTTAATGGTACAATTTTTTGACATTTTGATTGTTGCTTGTATTTTATTTCATTGTAATTTCAGTTTTTTTGCTTAATATAATTGTTATTTTCAGCTAATCTTTTTAAATTTTTATAGATTCTTTCAGGGATTTCAAATCAATTAATATCATAGTAGACAATGGAAGTCCGAATTTTATTGAAAAACATTAAAGTTGTTTTGGTAGATATAATTATATCAACACAAGCCTTTAATTAAAAGCAAATACACATTTTCAGGAAACGACATGTTTCCAGAGTAAAACATGGTTTCAAATTAGAAGTAATTTATGATTTCTGCTCAAAGCTAGGCGCAAATTGGAAGCGTGTGGGGTGACGCAGCACAGCGCTATCTTTTGTAATCCATGAGAACCAATAAAACAACGCAAGTTGGTGTCCGGATACGAGATGGCGCAACCAGCGAGACTCGCGTGGGCTGTGGTTGAGACACAGTTTTTCGTGACAATTATTTCGCGTGTCGCCAAAAGCTTTGTATACTCAGTAGGGTCCCTTTGAGTCAATGCCTCGTTGGATCATCCCATGCACTTCTCCAAATTAGTTTTGATTCATTCGGAAATAATAATTAAAATCACCATCACTCATCTTCTTTGACATCATGAATTGTCCACATTTTTCCCTTCCCAAGAGAATGTTATCCGTGAGAAGCCGTGGCAGGTCGCCATTATTTTTATAAACGCAACAGTTATAGAGTGAACGAAAATGGAATGTATATAGTAAGAATCAAAATTTATATAGTATTCGCTGTGTATAACAAAAGGTTTATAGAACCTCAGAAATGAACCGGTTTCGAGGTACAACAGCTCAAAGTTAACTTTTCACGCGTAAAACAGTAGGTATACGATCAGGTTATATTGGCTTCTCTATAAAACTGTAAATATTTAAGCATTCTTACGATTTAAAGTCCATAGTAGGCCACGAGTCTAAGAAAATGGGTTTTTTGAATACTCCTGCAAAACGATTTAAATTCGTATCTGGGGACTTTTGATAGCACCGATTACGAATCTGAGTTGAAATGGTCGATATGATGATCCATAGTTTGTTTTACAGGAAACGTAATATAGGCTGATCAACACAGTTTTACGATTTTTTTCTGATTGATTCGGCCATTACCTACTTGATGAAGATACATATTAATTTCATGAGTTGTAGTTTATGAAACAGTTTTGCGCGTCAAAGTTCTAAATTTGGGCGGCTTAAGCTCGAAATTTGTTCATTTTGAAGAACCGCACTAATACAAGCTTTTTGATCTACTCACGTATTGTTTGCGAGTTCTTTTCCCCTTGAAGTTCTCTGGCGGAAAAAATCGTCTGAAAAATCGTCTATAAATTTAAACGAATTATATCTCAGGTGCAATACACGGAGAAGAAATCAACTATCTGTTCGGTGAACCCCTGAATCCTTCCAAGAGTTACACGCCTCAAGAAGTGGACCTGAGCAGACGAATGATGCGATACTGGGCAAACTTTGCGAAAACGGGCAATCCAAGCGTGAACGCTAATGGCGTCTGGACGCCCACCTTCTGGCCCATTCACACGGCCTTCGGGAGGGAGTACCTCACCTTGGACATCAATTCCACTGCGACAGGACAAGGGCCCAGATTGAAGCAGTGTGCCTTTTGGAAAAAATATCTACCTCAACTCCAGAAGATGACCGGTAAGTTCAGATAGGAGCCCTCTTTAAAGGAGGTGCGAACTATCACCATTCAAAATTTGAAAACCAGCTCTGAACGACACCATCATCATCATTAGATCACCTTCTTGTACATTCCGCGCAGCGCTGAAGTTCATGACTGCCAGAACACAGCCACATCTGGCTGTGTTGCTGGCATTTGACAATCATAAAACGCATTTTAGACAAAAAAGATCTCCGTTCACGGTCAATTTTTTTTTATCCAACACCTATGAGGACCCTGTAAGATATCAATTTTGTTTCAGCCGAGTTACAAAATACCCAGTCGAGCAAGGATTGCGTCAGCTTAGGAATATCCATCAGTAGTTCGTGGTACACTCTCAGTTCCTTCTCCATAACACTTTTGGGAATTGGATGGAAACGCTACCAGTAAAAGTAGAAGCTTCTTAACCACTTCCAGGCTTTTAGAAACAAAAAATCACTTGAATGGGACTAAATGGATTTCACCAGGTTTAGATTTCTGCTTTTTGCTAACCGTAGAATCGATAATGTTAAGAATCAAGGCCCTGGATTGTTGTTGTTGAAACAGAGTTGTCAATTAAAAGATGATACTTGCCGTGGCAAGTGTGTTAAAGAGTATTTTGACCCCGAAAAAGGTCAAGGTAATTTGTGAGAGAAACCCGAATAAAATCGATGTAGGTTCAATTCAGTTTTTGAATGCGAGGGACTTTAATTCTGAAAGTCGAAAATAAATAATCAATTTGATGTTGGTGATATTCGCGTTAGTATTCACAGGGTTTCAATTCCGCTTTTTCTCAATTGAATTGAATTTTTGACAGGGAATTTCGATGTTTAATGTGAAGAATTGGAAAGTAGCACAAAAAACAACAAACCATCACATAATATTATCATAATCATGAAAACAAGTCAATACCGCGACCGCTAGTAAATATTTTGAATAAATAGGTACATCGTGAGATTACAATGTAATAATTCAGTATTTAGTTTACAATAATTCATAGACATGAAATCAACATTTTTTCGATTCACGTCAATTACAATACCTATCTCTGAAACACAAACTTTTTTTTTTGGAAATTGTTCCAGTTTCGTAAACTTTGCTATATGAAATATTGATTTTTTATCGAAGAATTGAAATAAATCTTGTCAAAAATACAATTTGTTCAAAAAAATGTTAAAATTCTATGTCACTGACTATTGAATATTCCAGATAGGCAGTTTGGAATTTATAAATTGTTGTTTCTTTTTAACTTCAGAAATTCTTTATAAGACAATTCCGTAAAGTGTTTCAAATCATTTGAAAACTGTACCTTGGAAAATACTAATTTTCTCACTTGGAATAGTAATCAATTTTAGAGTTTCCTAATGAAACAATATGATTCCTTTATTTGAATTCAAAACAGACTGAAATAATGAGATCTATTTATCTCAGTTTCACTATCTCTATTGATCTGATTGATTTAATAGGAGCGGAAAAATTGAGAAACCTGACGTTCCCAAAAAGATCAGAACTTGTTTGTTTTTCCCAATTCGAATATCTACATGGTTTCGAGAGAAATTTGAACACCAAAAAAGTCTATCATCAATTTTCAAAGGTGACATTTTCTGTTCCACGTATATTTTCGCGTCTTGGTTTCACAGCTGTAAATGTTCGACATTTGAAGGATCAATCCGTTACTGATGAAATTTTAGTGAGAAAAGTATAATTTTCGCCAGGAAGCCTTCCACGTGCGGAAAATACGAAACGCAGCCAATAAACGCCAACCTCAAAAACTAACATCTCTAGTTCTGCTACTTGTCTCTGCTGCCTTATATTCATGTAATAGTATTACTTTATCAAAGAAACAAATTTTTCCTATTGAGTGGGGCCAGTCAGTCGACTTGCATTTGGAAGAAGACGTAAAAAACAGTTCGGGGTCAAATTGAATTTTTCGAGAAACGAAATGTGTGCATATTACACGAGCTACAAACTACTAGAAAAAACCTAAACCAAATCTAATCGACTAACCGACCTCAAACCATGTCTCTATCACATAATTATAGTGAATAGTGTACTCTAGTGCCTCTGCATCTGTAGTATTAGCGTGCTGGGGTTCAATCGAATATTTCCGTCTCAATTATTATGAGGTACCTACCCCATGGCTCCCCAGACGCCATTGTTCTTAATATATATTATATGCTCGCCCTGCGTTTTACTCAAAACATATCCATATGATGGTGCAAATACTACCTTAATTTAGGACTAACTCTTAAAAAGCATTGTACATATTTGTATTGATATCTTAACTAGTTGCAACACGATCAGTCATTTTGTTTAACATATATTTATTTTAAGACGGAGCGAAATTATCGTCAATAAAATCAACTTTTGTTGTAAATCAAAATTGGAACTTCAATATCAACTAATTTTCTTCGTGTTTATGGACGACAGTTTGATTCAGAAATTGTTGAGACAGTCATTCAGAATATTTCGTATTACGTCTTTTCTAATATAAAAATTAGATACCGCGAAATTTTTGCCTTTTCCGATAAATTCGATTCAAAATTCAAACAAAATAATGTTGTTCTTGGCTACGATGATAATTCTAAACCTCAAGTTCAATGAAGGTGTTTCCCATGGAAAAAGCTCAAAAGACACTAAGAAAAGTTTCTCATGTTGTGATGCAAGTCAGTCTTCTCGCATGATATATATGTTCAACATTTTGGCTGATATCAAATGTTTAAGGTGATTTTATTTGATTTTTCTCAATATCAGTTCCGTTGTTTGATCTGCCATATTTAAATAAACTGCATACCTTTTGACCAAGGTTTTGTAGAAACATATGTGTGGAAAATATTTGTTTCTTATTCCATCCATAGGTATACAGGGTGATTCGTCGAATTCTACTACATTTACTTTTCCCAGTATTCTACATTCGAAATATATTAAAGTGTCAACTTATGTTATGTTTACATTGTTATTTTGATTTCGACTGATCACCCAGTACATTTCTTATGAGTACAAGGTGTTCCAATGTCACTCTCTCGAGTATTTTTTTGGATCTCATTTACATATCATCTGGCCTAATTTTTTGAAAATGTCATTTTGCATCAGTTCACCGTTCAATTTTAGGAATGCCTTGTATATTTGTACCTAGTAGAAGCACATTGTATATGTAGTAGGTGCCTCTTATCATAATTTGTAAATCGACCAGTACTTTGTAAATTTGCATGATTTCCTTCTTTTTTGAATGAGCAACAGACATTGCATTTCACTTCATAGTTGAGGATGATGAATTGATTCACAAAAAGTGTCACACTAGACTACGAAAGAAATTCTAGCAATAGTTTATACTACTCTAAACTTTAAAATTTTCGAAAATATCAAATGAAACGTAAACTAACCGATTTTACAGTGTCATAGATATTAGTTAAAAAATGCACGTGGAGTAAAAAAATATGAGAAACTTCCGATGGAAGAAAAATATATTTAACTTTAATGAAAATGTTCTACAAAGACGTGTATACACGGAAGTATCGTTTTCATCTGAAAAAACTATCTTTAATAAAATGAAAATTGAGTTACACGCATAATACAAATAACATAAGTTATAGAATTGAAACAGATATTATTCACAGGAACGCTACACAACGTAATATATATATTACATTGTCTGGTATTCCTGTTAATAACGTATCCAAAAAACCCTTCATTATGAGATTTTCACTGAACATTTTTACAAAAATGCAACACGTGTTTCGCCATACAATGGCTTCTTCGAGCGTGTATATTTACTCACACGCCCAAAGAAGCCATTGTAGGGCGAAACACGTGTTGCGTTTTTGTAAAGATGTTTACTGAAAATCTAACAATAAAGTGTTTTTTGAATACGTTAGTTATAGATTTTCATCAAGCATCGGCCAATTCCATCATATATTCCTGTTAATGATTATATGTTTCATTTCTATTTGGAAAAAGTTCTACGTGAATAAAGAGAAGTAATTTTGGTGTTATTCAATGTTTATATCCGTGAAAGTAGTTGAAAGAGATGAATGTGATAATATATTTGGATAAAAAATAATTAATTTGATTAACTGATATGAATTATTAATACAACTATTGTGTTTGAGACTGAGGAAGAATAGTTTCGTGTTCATTTTTTTCTGTTTTCTCAAAATTGGTGGGAGCATTTTGATAATAACCAATAACTTTACACCTATATGAATTGATTTTATTGTTTACACATTTTGTTTTAGCTCAAATCATATTTGAATCAAAGAAGGAAATGATGCTATTCATCTAGATTTTTCGTCACCCTATTAGTATAAAAAATAAAGTCAGTATTTATATTGGAATGTAAAATTTTTCTGAATAGATAATATTCGTTTCTCCAATTAGTTTCCAGGTCGCATTTTTGAAATTGAGTTACTATAATAGAAATAAGTATGTGAGAATGATCCGTTTATGAGTATTGATATTCTTTGGCTTGTAAATAGAAATCTTCCATTTCCATAAGACGCCTTTGAAGAAAAGAGATCAATTTGCAAGTTCAATTATTATATTTTGGGAGCCTAAACATAGAACAGCGAAATATAAGTATTGTCCAAACTGATTTGAATTATTTATTATAATCATATAAGAAATCTTTATTTTCTAAATAATTTATATTAGATGTGATAAGATAAGATCTCCAATATATTATTATTCTTATAAGATAAGTTAAATATCAGGTAAGGTAGCCAAATAATTTTATAGACTAACCTTAGAGAAACCTAACGTAGCACAAATTTTTATTTTAATTGTAACAGAACAAGGTGGCTCACTGTAATAATACTATTAGATATTCATTCAGTACTTTGTTCAAATCAATGAGGAATATTATTATACCACAACTCTTTTTCTCCATATGAATTCTGCTCAGTTTTAGATTATGAAAATTTTTTGTATTTTGTAAAATGTATTGAAGTTACTACGTAAATTCAATATATTTTTCATTGAAAATGCGTTATTAATCAGTAACGGGTGGCATTTTATAATCTTATCTGTATAAAAAAGATTTGAGAACAGCACAATTACTTATTCGAAGGTTTCAGAACTTTCCAGAACTGAAAAGAACAACTACAACTTAAATCTACCGATTACACTTTTCCCAGACCAAAACAAAAAGACTGTCACCTGACACACGGTTCATTTACCAAAAAAAAAAACTGCAAGTTGAATTTAATAAAACGTATAGTTTTTAGCTCTTTTTTGTAGACAAAATCATTAAATACAACACTTTACTCAAATAGCGAATTTTTCTTTGTGAAAAATATATTCAATTCAGACAGTAACTTATCAGGCTCAATTGAAAGTTTACCCTCTCTACACCTGTATACATATACACCTACATTACATTTATTTTTGCAAATTATTTAAGGAGAAATTTCCCATGAAGTACAATCAAAAACACTACAAAATGTTTGGAATTCTGTATCTCCAATACAGAAATATTTTGCATGAACAGTATGAATTCAATAAAAAAGAAGAAAAATGTGTTAAATTCTGACTTGAAATTCTGAACTTATTTACTTATTGTTTGAAAAATTTGAAGCCCGTCTACACCTTTGTTATTATGTTGGAAACACCTGTCTGACTCAGAAATTCGGACAGATGATTTTTTTTTTCATAAACCTACCTCAATGTGAAAACAACATTACATTATACAATAGAAAATACATCAAAACTTTTATTTCACTGGTGTGCTCAGTGCTTCTTTGGAATGTTATTTATTGAATAATGTCGGTTGATATTACTACATATAGTTTCAAAACTTTCAAAGTTTATTAATTAAAAGATGTCAGTTGAATATTTTTGGCAGAATGGTTCCAATAGTTTATCAAAAATGTATGGGAAGAAAGTAAAGAGAAAAGGTTCAGTTAGTCACCTTGTTCTGTGAGATGTTTGCTGGTCTAGATTAGCTATATCTCACATATTTCGAAGACTTATTTCAATGTGGAAAATTAACAGATACCTACATTGTGTGTTAATGCAATTATAGAATTGTTAGGCCATAGTGGCTGTATTACTGTTATTATTTGTGTTATATAATTACTGTTGTTTTTATTGTACGATTATAATTGAATGCATACAAATAAATGATTGCTTCAAGTTATTTTAAAAATCATTCTCTGATCCGTGAAAGATGAAAATTTGTAGGATAACCCCTAACAATTTTTTTGTTCGGAATTCGATACCCACTCTTGGACTTCAAATGCAATTTCATATATCTCTTGAGTGATTTAAAAATTTGGTTAAATATGGTTATGGTTAGCTCTGACCTTAATGTTCTTGAAGAATTCTTGGCAGGAGAAATCGTACACTACTCCTCGGGTGTGTCGTTTCTTCGGGTGTTGTAGCCGTTCACTCAAAATTTGTTGTCAAAGATACCGTTCACAATTCTATGGAATCCTTAGAGGTTTCCGGTTGGATCGGATACATTTTCTGTCTGCCGTAGGTTCTAATTCATTTCAGTTGATGACAGCTTCCCCCTTGCAGCAAACGTAATTAATTTGTTGTCTGATCTAAAAATTATAGAAATCAAATGTTATTAATTACCATTACTGATGTTAAAATTTGAAAATTGAGTGTTAAAGGTATCATACCTTCTCTGGGAGAATGACCTATTTTAAATTACAAGATACAGATGACATTCGCAATTATCGTGTCTTTTAATCAAAGTTAACTCTGCATTCCCTGTCGGAAGGGATCGAATCCATATTCAACCGAAAATCTACATTGAAAAACAATTTCAAACGTAAAAGTGGTTCACGCACATATGTCACCTCAAACATTTTCAGTTGGAACTCAAAAAAAAGGTAACCAGATTGTTAACTTATTATTTCGTCAACTCGTCGTTCAATTTTTTAATTCACTATGAAATATTTGTTTCATTTTCATAGTTGATCATTGCTGGATTCCCTATAAAGCAATTGGAAAAATACAGTTATATTTTGGATCACTACAAAAGATACAATTCTTCAAGTGCTTTTACGTTTTTTCCAATCTTCGAGTGAATGTTAGTTTATGTCGTAATTTACGATATGAGATGAAATCGGCCGATATATTTGATAAAAACCCACAACGTATTCATAATTTACGGCAATCAATAAATATTCCTTAGGTATTTATCTCCCGACAAAGTCTAGCCCACGTTGCGCAATTCTTCAGTATCATATAGATAATTTCAAATTATTATGAAATTATTCAAAAATTGTATTCTCAATCATTTCTGAGATGTTATTAAGTTATTAACTATAGTATACCTATTGAGGTTAGGTTATTTTTTAAGTGTGGCGCTAGAAGAAAAGGCATCCAAAATGGATCTGAACTGTGAGGTGGAAGATTTATAGGTAGTTATATTTATGATATCCTGATGAGTTTTTCCTGCACGAACCAATATTACGATATTACAAAAGACGAAACAGAAAAGAATTTTTATCGAGGTTCGTGTACAAGTACTTTGTCATTTTCATTCAACGCACGTTCATAAGTAAGACCTCGTTAATTTTTATCTTGCATATGTTTCGAATTCTGATCAGGGTTGTCGTTTATAAGGAGCGACAACTGGTTGACAGAAAAACAGTTTTTCTTCAATCAACTGTCATCTTAAAAGCGAAGTGGTTTTATTCGTTTCTTTTTCAATATCAAATAAGTACTTTTATGAAGCAAAAATTTAATTATTAACACTTCATTTTTATATGCAACACTGATACTGCCCGTTGTCAAACATTGGCAACGTTGCTCATGAATCATGAATCGCGTTTCGCGACATAACCCAAGAAAATATGTTTTTTTGAACTTTTTTCAGTGACGTAATAATAAATCATTTCTATTACTTTTTTCCATGATGAATGTCTCAAATCTTAACCTATTAATTTTCATTATGTCTTTAGATTTCAGTCAGTCTTCGAGCATTGAATAAACAAAATGAGAAACAATAACAAATTTAAACACTTACAATTAGACAGGATTGTTTTCAACAAGTGGATTTCAATCACATTTGTTATCTAAACAGTGATAAGCCTTTATTGTTCATAAAAAATATGTTAATCGGTATACTTGATTAATCAAAACTGTGTGCCTACTGTTTATGATTGATGTATTTGGCCTTAAACTCGATTGAATCTTAGTTTTCTGGTAGGTTGATATCACCACCTTAGTGGTTACAAACAAGAGTGCCATGGATTCTAGCAAAAAATATGTAAATACCTCCCCGGAAACATCGGCTAATGTTTTCTCCAGATTATTTTTCTGGTAAGTAATAACAGATAATTTTTTTTAATATTGCTCAAATGTTTCCTTGTTTAAAAGTGCCCCCAATTATAGGCCTTTTAGTGTCTTACCACTATTCAATTATCTCCAATTAAAGACTAGTTTCCATTTATACCTAAAATTATTTTCAAAGACAAAGGTATTCAAGCCATTACATTTCAGTTGGTTTTTACCATTTTTCAAATATGGTTATCAAAAGGATCTTGAAGTCAAAGATATTTACAATGCCACCAAAGAGGATTTATCAGCACCATTGGGAGATGTTTTAGAGAGGTAATGTATATTTTCAGTTTATGTTTTCTATGTTGAACACATGTTTTTTAGCATATAAAATATTCACTTTTCAAAAGAAAGTTGGTTCAAAGTCAAAGTTGGGTAAATTTTGAAAAAGTTGCCCATTTTAGAGCTGACATTTTAAAACTTGGAAAATTGTGAATAGTTTCGGAATTATTCCAAACGAACTGAAATTCAACAATTCCGTTTTTATTTTTTCCTGACATTATTTGAGAAGATATTGATAAATTAAAAAACCGTGCTTTCTCATTGCCATTTTTTAACCTGTACAAGATGGCGTTTACATATGTTTATTCTAACTTTGTCTCCAAAAAACCATCACCACCATTATCGTTGTTTAACAAAATTCTGTGTTTCCACCATTTTTATATGAATGGGAAAAAGAATGACACATACTGTAAGTTTAGCCCTGTTGGTGACAACTTGACTGATATATCACAAATAATAGGAATTATCTAAATTTCAAAACATCATTTAAATAATCTTTAAAATGGTCATCTCTTACGAATTCCATTATCCTATATATACTGGCCCTCCTTATCTTGGACACAGTATAGCTAGCTTGTAGTGGTCATGAATTTTAATGAATAGTGAATTTTTGAAAATATTTGGGAGCCACTTTTCCAGCAATTTGTTGATTTAAATCATTGCAAGGAAGTGAAGCCATTTGGTAAACGGTAGTTACTGTAAAGAGTCCAATATAAAGTTAATGGAGGTGTATATTAATATTATTTTCATACTTTTATTTTGTAGTGTTTTTTGATCGTTTATATTATATGTATTGAAAAGTAATTCAAAAGAGTATCTTTTTTGATATGCATATACCTATAGTAGTTATTTTCAGGAATTGGAAAATGGAGATTCTGAAACATAGTAAAACTGCGTCAAATAAAAAACCAAGTTTGGAAAGAGTAATACTAAAAACGTTCTATAAACCTTATTCCATGTATGGTATTAGCCTATTTTTACAGTGTGTTGTTCTGAGGTAAGTTTAGTACTGGTGAGCAACCAATCGGGTGTCACTTCACAAAAACTTAATATGAATTGACATATTAATAATATGGTAGATTCAATACCTGTTGAGTCTGATAGCTGAAGATTAATCATCTTCAATGTTTCTTTTCCATCTAGTTATTAATTTTATATTTTTAAACTTGATATTTTCTCATTTCTCAAATTTTCTTTTTGTCTCCTCATTCTGGTCCTATATTTTAAATTTTTCTATGACATCATCGTCATATTTTGTACAGTTTTTGTTTTGTCGTTATTATTTTATTTTTATCGTTGTTTTAATAAAACTTTATTCTAAGTTGTTTTTGTTATATTCATTATAAAGTACATTTTTTCAATTTACTTTTTCCTGAAGAAGTTTTAATATTGACACAAAAGCTTGGCATATTGTAAAAATAATGTAGGTTTGTTTATTGAATAGTTTGACTGAAGATTAGTCTTCCTCTCGAAGATGATCACTTGGTGATCAAAACACATGTCAAGGTGTTAAAATAACGGTTTGGTGTTGGGAAAAAACTTGAGTAAATTTCTTTCAAGAACCAGTTATTCCCATATTTATCAAGTATTATTATATTTACTACATTTTCCTCTGTGTTTGTCACAGAATGGTGCAACCCATAGTATTAGCAGAATATATCTCCTTCTTTCATGAACCCTGGGAAGAAGCGAATCCAGGAAGGGGATGGATCTTAGGAATAGGAGTAATTTTCATTGCGTTTGCTAATGTACTTATAATGCACGCCACAAGTCTGGGGACTCAACGAGTTGGAATGAGAGTTCGAGTAGCTTGTTGTTCTCTCATTTACCGAAAAGTAAGTCGGTGAACTTTACTTACACACTTTGGTCTGAAAATAATTATGGAATACATTTTGTCTCTTTGAAAGCATCAATACATTCAGAATAACTGTTGCTCAATTTGAAATAAAATATCATATTGACTTACAGGAAAAATTCTCAGTAAATAATAATGGTAATGTTTTTTTCTTCCATCTAATAATTCCATTATTTATTTGACCTATCCATGAGACAATGGATGCTTCTTCACGAGATATTCTATTGGCATGATTTATACAAAACAATATTATTACATCAACATTTGTAGTGGGCCTACTTGATATTCAATTGATTCATAGAACTTTTTAGCTTCTCAAATTGAATCACGGGTCTATTGGACAAACAGCTGCAGGGCAGTTAGTCAATCTTTTATCCAATGACGTGCAGCGGTTTGACATGGCTTCAAATTTTCTCCACTATATATGGATAATGCCTATTCAGGCAGTTGTCGCCTTTTATGTGATGTACAGAAGTGTAGGAATATCAGCTGTGGCAGGCATGTTGGCCATAGCCATCCAAGCAATTCCTTTGCAAGGTAAACTTGAAACAATTTGGCCTACCATCAGGAAGAGTCAGTAGTATGTTCTTCATTAGACATGTAACCATTATTCGAGTTTTAAAATGTTTTCACAAGTGGTGGATTAGATTTTGACCAGCTTGAAGACTACTGAGACCAATAAATATTTGATGTTCTGGTAGAAAATTTTCCAATGATAGGTTGCTATGTAAACTATGGTCCAAAAATGTTCTGTTACAAAAATATGAGATGTTTTGAGAATTGTATAGAAAATATTTAATATTTTCTAAACCATTTGGTTTTAATTTTAGTGATATGTGGTATACAGTGACGGTTAATGAAATGTTATATTTTTAATTAAATTGTCATTTTCAACTTCAATTATGGCTTAGGAATGAAAATTCCCATATTTGAAGAAAACAATGATACGCTTATGGATTTTTCTCAATAAAAATTCATTTAATTAATAAAAAAGTTCCAAGTTTTTTCCTACGATACATCGTTTTGGAGAAAAAAATGAAAACCCTTGTATTGTCCGAGAAATTATGGAAAATATATTTTTTACTGAATTTTTCAGTACTTCAGTTTTTGATTTTGTAGGCAGTAACAATTAATAAAGTTGAACATTTTTCATTACAAAAAGAACTTTACAAATCAACAGTGGCATGTGAACTTTTTTGTTCCAAATTGAAGGAGATCAAACAAGATTTTTTTTTGAGAAAAATCCATAGGCGTAACAGTTTTTCTTGAGAATATCGAAGTCAGTTCCTGTACCCACACCACTATTGAAGTTGGGAATTATTTTTTTATTGACAAATATAAATTTTTAGTAACTCTCACTGGTTACCGAATATTACAAAAATATCTCGAATGGCTTAGGAAATATTAAATCATATTCATTTCATATTTAAAACCTCACCACCTCGTATTTTCATAACAGAACAATTCTGGACCACATAACAACTTGGCAGTATTTTTTCATGTGAACTTATACTCTTGAATATTCACACATATCATTAAGGAACACCATGTATACGATAAGAACAGAAATTCGGAAAATGGCTTAGACACGCAAAGCTTTTATATAGCTGTTATCAAAACTAGAAATATTATTGACTCACCTGATATTTGTAGTCATTTATTGCATCCTGTATTATATTTTTTGGTTATTAATTTCCATTAGTTTTCATCAAGAAGTCACTTAACCTTAGTCTTTTGTGTTCCTAGTTTGTTTTCATTGTAGGTTATTTGTCAAGATTACAGGGCCAACTGAGGTTCAAAATAGCACTGAGGACAGATCATAGAGTAAAACTCATGAGCGAAATTACTGCTGGAATTCAGGTCATCAAAATGTACGCTTGGGAGAAACCTTTCGAAAAAATTGTTGAGCTTGCTAGAAAGTGAGTCATATTTAAGTAAACTTTGTTAATAAAATAATTAGAATTACACTTACCACCAACATTACCCACAATAAATACCATAAGCCATAATGAGTTTGAACATGTTTCCAGTCTCAGTTTTTGTTGAAAACTGTTCAATTTCTGTTAATTCTTGGCATGATCCCACAGACGTGACATTGGTAAAACTTACATATTATCTAACTTGCAACAATTTCTGATAGTATACTAGAATATATATAATTTAATTGGTACAATAGGAAGGTCAACACTGATAAAACATTTGTTTGACAAGTAAACATACTTATTCATTTGTTTCAGTTACTCAAGCATGAAGTGATAGTAAAGTGTGAAGTTAACCATGCTTTCAAACAATTGTGAAATGTTTACAAGTATCTTCTTTCAAGTAAACTAGTTCGTTGTGAAATCATGGAAAAAATTAAATATAAGTTCTTTTATACTACATATTCATATGACATGCCCAAGTTCAGGTGAAAAATATCTTACCCCTTGCCTCTTATGTGGACCTACGACTTTGTAGGTATATGTGGCAGATTACTTCCTGCATATGAGAAACAGAAATCATTTTCCTGGCTTTGTCTGCAGGTGATGCAGTAGACATCCTACTGATTTAATCGCAGATAGAGTTTATGACTAGTTGGAATTGATTTTGTTTGTTCGGGATACTCAGACGGTGTACTCCGTCTGAAATGACCTGTCCGGTACTGACGAGGAGCAAGTACCCCGAAACCGGTCTATAGGTTGGTCGTATCGACCAAATAAAATTGATTTCTGCTTCTTATATGCACATTCCAAATAAATCAAGTATTTTTTTTTAAGATTTTTGAATAACATGCCTAGTAAACTTTCATACCCAAAATATAGTATGAATTATATGTGTTAAGTGATTGAAGATCAATTTCTACGGATATTATCGAAGGGTTCACCAATTGATTGGATGGATTGATCTATGGTCCCTTCGAAACGAACAAACAGAACTGAACAGAAATACTAAATTTCATTTAATCACTTTCAGGATGGAAATCAACGTTCTTTCTATAACTTCTTACATTAGGGGTGTATCGATGGCAATGATGGTTTTCACAGAACGTTTCACCCTCTTCTTGACCATAATAATGTTTGTACTCTTGGGAAACAGACTAACTGGCGATGTGGTATTCTCTATTGCTCAGTTATTCAACACCCTACAACTCTACATGTCTATTCTCTTCCCTTTAGCTCTGTCGAGTTATGCAGAAGCTCGAGTGTCCATCAGGAGGATTGAAAAGTTTCTGTTACTCGAGGAAAATACTAGTCAAAAAATACTTTTGCCGAAAGAAGAAGCAATCAAATCCGAAACATTGGGGCAGGTGAAACTATCTCATGCGACCGCTAGTTGGAAGCCAAATCCTATTGTTGCCACTCTGATGGACCTCAATTTAGACATAAAGCCGAAAACATTGTGTTGCGTTGTAGGAAGCGTAGGCGCTGGAAAGTCCAGTCTCTTGCAAGTGCTTCTCAAAGAGTTACCACTGGTCAGCGGCCTTGTTGACGTATCGGGGAGTATCTCGTACGCATCTCAAGAACCGTGGTTGTTTGTTTCGAGCATAAGAAATAACATCTTGTTCGGAAAGCCTTACATTAGGAAGAGGTAAAATGTGCTGTCTCATAAAAGATTTCATTATTACTAATATTAGTTTGCATGATTCAATTCTAGATACAGGGAGGTGGTAAAGGTGTGCGCATTAGAAAAAGACTTTGAGCAATTTCCCTTTGGCGATAAAACCCTTGTAGGGGAGAGAGGGGTCTCTCTTAGTGGAGGACAGAGAGCGAGAATCAACCTAGCCAGAGCAGTCTACGCTGAAGAGGACATCTACTTATTCGACGATCCTTTATCGGCCGTTGATACCCACGTCGGAAAACATTTGTTCGAGGAATGTATGATGAAATATCTGAAGGACAAGACGAGAATTCTTGTAACGCACCAGTTACAGTTCATGAAACAGGCAGATTTAATTGTTGTCATAAGCAATGTAAGTTCGAAGGGATAAAATGTTTTTGTCTCGCTCAAATGCCACTCAATCAATCAATCAGTTTATTCATTGTGAATGAATACTACAATGTCGGTAATTTTATAGTACTAAGAAAACGCATGTACATCACAGTTGCATAGATCCAATTAAATAAATATCAAAAATATGTACGGAAATTCCATGTAGTTCTCGTGACTTTGTCGACAATATAGACAGTGTTATATGAAATATAGAAGGACAAAATCATTTTTTATCATGAAGTGCTGATTTTAATATTGCTTCCATTTCTCTTTTTTTTTCAGTGGTTTTCTTTGGTTCAAATAAAACAACTAAAATTTTATGAGAAATATTTAATAAAGTCTACTTGATGCTGGCTGGAATTGAAGCTGAGAGATATCACTGTTTTAGAGACATAGAAACATCACCAATAGATAATCCAGACAAAATATCAGATATGCAATTATAAAAGTTTATTTGAAAGTTTTGTAACAGTAGATCATAAAAATTATGAAATATAAATAGAAACTCCGTCATGAGGATCATTCATTTTCTAGGGTAAAATTGAAAAGGTTGGGGTCTTCAGCGATTTTTCTGAAAGCCATCTCAGTCAGTTGGAACAAGGAACTCAACATGACGAGGAACAAGAACGAGAGAAGACTCCTTCAATAGAAATGCGGGGTAGGCTGCAATCAGTAACTTCATTTGGTGTAAGTTTCGTGTCTATTCGTATCTCTGCCCATTTGAAAAACTTTTTTTCTCTAGAGCTCTGTCCTGTGCGAAGAAGAGCCCCAAGAAACAGATGAGTTGATTGAGAAAGGCGCCGTCCCCACGTCCACCTATGTGGAGTATTGCAAAGCTGGGGCAAGTTGGCTCGTCTTATTCTTCCTAGTGGTTCTTTTGATCATTGCTCAGATGTCCTCGAATGCTTCAGACTTATGGTTGACATACTGGTTAGTTGAAATTTCACGATATCTCACCGATCCACATCATTAGTTTAGTTTTCAATAGTGGGGAGTTACAAAGTTGTTAGGTTTCGTGGCCATAGTCGACAAGTGTTTGCTTCCACCATGTGATAGGGAAGCACCTGCCAAGAATTTCTGGGAGGTTGTATGAAAGAAATTCCATATTATGGCGTCCTTCAAACTCGACAAAGAAGACTGATATAGTTAAAGGTTCATTAATCATTCACAATTTGAACAAGATGTTGCAATCAGAAGGGTTATCTAAATTCGTACGACTAATTGAAAAAAAATAATTGAATATATCTTGAATTTTCCATTTTTTCAAAAATAATGTTGAAGATTTTTTTTTCCAGGACTAATGTAGAAGAAATGAAGTACAATATAACTACAAAATCTCCTATTGAATCTCCAACCAGCACTGCATTGCCTCTAAGTATTGTCTCACCATCACAATCAGCAAATGGAACGAATGAAACATTAATCTTTGATGAAACTGCCAACGATGATAACCAATATAGATCGCGAGACGAATATATTACAATATATAGTGTTTTCATATTGGGTTCGATAATTTTGACTACTGCTAGATCAATCCTCTATTTCAAAATTTGCATGACTGCATCAAAAGTGCTCCACAACAAAATTTTCAGCAACGTTCTCCAAGCCCCCATGAGATTCTTCGACACAAATCCATCAGGTGAGAAAAAAAAAGGTGGTATATTTTTCAATGACCAAGCAATGCCGGCATTTCTTTTGAGAATACATTTTGTCGATGCAAACTAAAGGCGAGCTAGTAAAAGCAATTTTTTACGAGTATTCTACTCGCAAAGTTGTTGTTCCCACGTCTGCATCTTTTATTTGGCCATCTGGTACAGAGAAAATGTCTTTACCTATGAAAATCTGTAGATAGACGAGTTGTGCATTTGAAACAAGATTATTTTTCTATTTTATTCTTGAGTAAAAAGTGCTTAAAGTTGACAACTCGATAATTTACAGGACGAATACTGAACAGGTTCTCGAAAGACATGGGTGCTGTGGACGAACTTCTACCTCGAGCAGCTTTAGACGCCATTCAAATATTTCTGGTGATGTCTGGTATTCTTGTGATGGTTTTCATCAAGATTCCTTGGATGGTTGCTCCCGCAATAATTCTTGGCGTTTTATTTTACTACTTCAGGGTTGTCTACCTATCCACCGCACAAGATTTAAAACGACTGGAAGGAGTCAGTAAGTAATTTGATTTCTACAAAAACATTCAGTGAAGATATAAATATATAAATTCTGATTAGTCTTTACTTTGTATTTTAAAATACTGCCTATAAAATAAGTTGAACTTGACAAAAAAAATTGAAGTTTCTGAAAGCTGTCTCTTACCAAAATCAAAATAAGTTGATGATTGTTTAGAGAAAAGATACATGTGCATTGAAAAATAAAAATTTTCATAATAAGTCAAGAAATATTCACTTTCACCTTATCCAACAAGGAACATATGCAAGAACTTCCTGTGTAAAGAAACGCACAAATGTCTCTCAGATATGATGCAATGCTCATCGTGGTAGTAGCTGAGAAAGTAGTTATTTTAACACAGAAATTTGCTAGATCTCACTGTGAATGATCGTCGGAAGAGGTGAATATTTCTAAACTGTTTCATTTAAACACTGAGTGTTTTTACAAATGAAGATTCTATAATAATTTTGTTGTAGATTACTTTAAACTGTGGATCATCGTGGATTATCAAAGTTGAAGTAGAACTCCATTAAATTCGAAAATACAAAACAAGATGTGACAATCAACTAATTAGAATAATCTACCAGCTTATTGACAATTTAGTTTTCTGATAGATTCGGCAGTTACTTGATAAACATCCATAGTAATTTCAAAAACTACACCTCACGATTTGATCTCCACAAACTTTATTTGAAAAATATATCACATGTTTCGCTAGCACAGTAGCTTTTTATTTATTGACAAAACATAGCAAGCACATAAAACTATACAGAGTAAATACAAGTTGCATTCAGTTCATATTTCAACAGATGTAAATATATTTAATATGTTTGATTGATGACTTGTTTATTTTATGGTAATTCATGATCACTTAAATCAAGTGAATAAAAACACTTTTGTTTAAATAAAACTGCACTTGATAATGGGGTCAAACCCGAAACCGGTCGTATAAATAAAATCTACCAGTGGTATTTAGACAAAAATGTTTTTATTCATTTCATTTGACTAAGTATATTTATTTTTTACAAATCATAACAAATTAATTCAATTCATTGTTTCGGAATCTTCAAAAATTGTTTTTCCAATAAACGTTCTGTTTTTTCAGCAAGAGCGCCAGTTTTCTCTCACCTATCGGCATCCTTGAATGGATTGCCCACGATAAGATCTTGTAACGCTCAGAAAATGGTTACCGAAGAGTTTGACGTCTTACAAGATCAGCACACGAGTACTTTTGTTTCATTTTTAGTCAGCAGCGAATCTTTTGGGTTGTATCTGGATGTGATCAGCACAATATTTTTAGCTATGGTTACACTCCAATACATGACTTTTAGAAACGGTAAGAATAATAATAAAGTAATATGCAAGGTGCTTTCAAAACTTACATTGATTTTTATTCAGGAAAAGCTTCGTTTAACCGAGTTTGTATTTTTCAATAAAAATTTTGAACAAATTCCACTTTCAGAGAACACGGCTGGTGCGAATGTGGGTCTGGTAATATCTCAGAGTCTTATCTTGACGGGTATGCTTCAGTTTGGGGTGCGACAGACGGCTGAGGTGGCCAGCAACATGATCAGCGTTGAAAGGGTGCTCCAGTACACAAAACTGGACAAAGAGGGGCCATTCGAATCGTTGCCAACGAAAAAGCCTCCAAGAGACTGGCCGAATCGTGGAGCAATAACCTTCAAAAGCACCTACCTTAGGTACGCCCCAGAATTACCAGTGGTGTTGAAGAATTTGAATACGGAGATAAAGCCTTGTGAAAAGGTGAGTACTCATTACAGTATTTATTGGAAATCAAACTCTAGACACGTTTTCAATATCTGCCCAAACCTGTTATTTTGTAATCGACTTCATATACTCTTTGTGATCAGAGTGCATGGTTTGCCTAACACCACTATCAAATCATTAAGAGCCAAGTATTTTCGAGGTGAAGAAATTCATTGTCGTATCTATTGTTCATTAAATTTTGTTAAAAATAATATTCATTTTTTCAACTTCTGACCACTAGATGGGAGGACCAACCATCACCACAAAATATATTTCCTTATCATAAAAATAGATGTCACCACCACCATCGTCATATGTTGCCTGTACGATATTCATCAACTTTGTCCTTCGCTTTGTAGATAGTGCTGGTATATCCAAATCATTGTCTAATAAATCCTTAGTGTCCAAATTATCCATCGAAAATCAGTGTATGAGCTCCATTTGTCTTCAAATGTCTGCAACCACAACGACATTTATCGACTTATTCTGTTGCCCGACAGATGGCGGTTAAATCGATTTAATATTTCGAAAGATACGAGCGCCATCTGTCTTCTAATGTTGGTGACGTCAATGACATTCCTCAACTTTGTCCTCCGCCCGATCGATGGCGCCACTATAGAAAATTAGTCCATTGAAAATAGGTACACGAGTGGTAAAAATATTTTTTTCATTTAGTCCCTCGAAAAGGGTAATGAGATGGAAATTTGGTATGATAATACGGGCTGTATCTAAAATTACAAAATTTTGAAGTATTTTGTGAAGTGTTTTCGGAATGAATCGCTTTTTGATATTTTCGATATTGAATTTCAGATTGGCAACTTGGATAAAAAGGAAAACCTCTGTCGGCATAAGAAAACAGCACAAACAATAAACATATTGTCTCCTCTACTGAAAGGTTTTCTCTGCAAATATTTGTTTTTTTTCCAAGTAATTGATGCCAAATTTCCATTTCGTTTGCAGTTTTTGTTCTTGTTGTTTTGGAGGAAGAGAGGATTTCAAAAAATATGTCTAAATTATTTTCATCTGCGGTAATCAAGAAATACATCCGAATTACAATTTGAATTGAAATGATTCAGTTCATTTTGTAAAGTTTACTATTGTTCAAAATATTCATTTTTTCATAATTCAAATTAATGATTTTAGATTGGCATTGTTGGTCGAACTGGGGCTGGAAAATCCACCCTGATCTCTTCGCTATTTCGGCTGGCTCCAATTGAAGGCACCATAGCCATTGATGGTTTGGATACTGGCGAAATTGGTTTGAACGATTTGAGACTCAACATTTCCATAATTCCTCAAGAACCCATTCTGTTTTCGGCCTCTGTACGCTACAATTTGGATCCATTTGAAAAACAAACTGATGAAACACTCTGGAAGGCCCTGGAAAATGTATGTTTCAATTCTTCTTCATTTGTACATTCGTTGATATTTTTAACAAAAAAACAAAACTTCAAACCTCCGCTTCTGTCTTAGGTAGAACTGAAAGGAGTCGTCAGTGACCTGAACCAACAAGTTAGCGAAGGTGGTTCCAATTTCAGTGCCGGACAAAGACAGCTCATATGCCTAGCCAGAGCAATTGTTCGTAACAATAAAATATTGGTAATGGACGAAGCAACAGCTAATGTTGATCCTGGGTAGGTGTTTCTGCAATGCCGTTTGTTTTCAAATCCAACAATAGAATTGTTTTCTTATAGACACCTGTCGAGTATAATAATTTTTACTAGGATTATGAAAATTTCAAAAGTAATGAAACTAATTTCACGTATTTTATATTCAAGTTCTACTTTTTTCAACATTCTGTTCATTATAATTATTATAGATATTTAAGAAACACTTCATTGTGAGATTTTCACTAAACAATTTTACAAAAAAACGCAACACGTGTTTCGTTAAGAATAGATTCTTCACACGTCTCTTTACTTCTGTGTCATACAGAATAGAAATGAATTCAGCAATAGTATCCATCAGAATGTTATTAAACAATTCCGTGAACGAAGCCTAAATGGCATTAGATTGCAGACTATTGCAAATTAATTCACTGCAGAAAATATTTTGAACAGATCCTAAGAAAATAACCTTTCTACAATTTCTTTTGTAAACATTTAGAGATTTTAGTCGTCTTTCCTTCATATTTGTATTGTTGTTTTCAGCACAGACGCTTTGATTCAAAAAACGATCCGCGAGCGCTTCAAAGACTGCACCGTCCTCACAATCGCTCACAGACTGAACACCATCATGGATTCGGACAGGGTGATGGTGATGGACGCGGGACAGGCGGTGGAATTCGCTCACCCCCATGACCTCCTGCGCAATCCCGAGGGATACTTCTCCAGGATGGTCAAGGAAACGGGTAATGCACTGGAGTCGAAGCTGAGGCAAATAGCCAAAGAAGATTATGAGAGGAAATTTGGAAGGATCGTGGAAAATGATGCAACAAAACCAAAAGAAGATTAGTCTGATGACAAATTGATTTATATTCAACATTTCTAACAGTATTATTTGTTACTATCAATTTAACAAATTTTGAAAATCTTTTTGAATAGCTCAAACATTTTGAAGAATCAGAGAGGCTCCGGACAATGGTTTTCATCATTCGATGGACTTATTTGGTACACTTTTCAAGTATTTTCATTGTTTAATGATATAAAAAAAGACGACAATATAGATAAGTTCATGAAGATAATTCAATTCATTGTTTCATGAACATTCTTTGAAATGTCTGTGAATATTCATATGAGATTATTTAGGATGAGAAAATGTACAGATCCCATAAAAATGCCTCATTGGAAATGGTATTTTTACCTAAAATGGTCTCTTGCTCCAAGTGAAATATATTTTCGTAATTGATTGGTTTCAGTTAACTCTTTATAGACAGTCATTATACGTGGAAAATGGCTTCTTTCTGCAGATGTCTTGTAAAATTTATTATTTCTTTTGGGTAGTCTGTTAAAGTTGAAAGTGTCGAAAGAGTTTTAATCAATAATTTAATTGTCATATTTACTTACAGAATACAAATAACTCTGGATTTACCTTCAAAGAATTCATCAACAGTTTGAATATTCAAAAATATAAAAACTGCCTTTTTTGTTTCCATTAGTTATATTTTTACAATTTGCAATTCAGGTACTCCGCCGTGTTTCTCAATTATTCATTCCAAAGTGAAAAACATGTGGTTCACTAGTTACAAAACATTTATTTAGTTAGGCATTGGATTTGATCTTGACATCACGTTATTATCTAATCAAATCCTTTTGACATTTATATTTATTTTCGTGTTTTGTTCAGATTTATTCATTTCTGATAGACATTGGCAAAAAACCAAATGAGATTTTCATTTAAAAATGCTCCAACCAATTTAGACTAAGAAAAACTTATCAAAATCAATGTTTGATACAGTATAGTTTCAGCATTCAAAAGACAACCCGCGTGACACAAACCCAATTTATTCGTCAATTTTCAGGGAACATACTTTGTTGATTTTTCAAATGTTTAACAAGTTACTTACAAGTACTATTAGTTACTATTTTGTATGTTATTCTTAAGACCAAAAAGAAAAACCGAAGAGTGTTTTACAAGTACTTATGGGAATATCAAATGAAAATGATGAATATTTATGAAATGTTCTTTTGCTGTGAATTGAACAAATAATGAATAGTGATCATGCATTGAATATTGATATCATGATGTATTTTATTACTGCCGGAGTTGGCGCTTTTAGTACAAATAAATATACTAATTAAGTTAATTTTGTTTTATTATCTGTTGGCAGAAATCATTTGTGGAGTATGACGGTCTATAGTAAAGTGTGTCTCTGGTTTTACTAACTTTTTTGAACGATGGATTGCAAAGATTTCAAATTGTATTTTTTCTTCAAAGAAAAAACCTCATGATTCATTTACATATTTGTAGTCAGTTATAGTCCAACATAGAAGAGGATATTGAATAGGGACTTTCCTCACCATTTACTCTTAGTGATCTGTCAAAGGCCTTTGACGTTTCTGTTACGAAGTTTGAACATGGAAACTTTCTTATTATGGAATTAGAAATGTTTCACATCTTTTTGAATTATATAAAACTTGATTCTTTCTTGCATTCACTCTCATTCAGTGATGTACACAGGATATGTTCTTGGAAGTAGGAGACAAATATGAAGAAGCCTACATTGCCGTGAATATCTTTTTTTTTCTGATCGAGTCGGCCGTTACTTGATGAAGATCCATAGTAATTTCAAAAACTACACCCACGATTTGATCTCCGCAAACTTTGAAAAACTATATCACATGTTTCTCTAAAACAGTAGCTTTATCAATAAAGCCCAATATTAAATTTCGAAAAAACTAATCTCGGAGAAACATTTAACCTACCTCCGAATACAAAAACAAACGTATTTTCAAATAATCACTTTGGAAAATATTTTTATCATCAACATCTAACTTGAAATTCGAAGTCAAAACCGGTATCTCCAAATCATTGTCTAATAAATCCTTAGACAGTGTCCAAATTATCCATCAAAAATCAGTGTATGAGCTCCATCTGTCTTCAAATGTCTGCAACCACAACGACATTCATTGACTTACTCTGTCGCCCGACAGATGGCGGTTATATCGATTTAATTTTTCGAAAGATACTAGCGCCATCTGTCTTCTAATGTTAGCAACGTCGACGACATTCCTCAACTTTGTCCTCCGCCCGATCGGTGGCGCCACTATATAAAATTAGTCCATTGAAAATGGGTACAAGAGTGGTAAAAATCTTTTTTTCATTTAGTCCCTCGAAAAGGGTAATTGAGATGGAAATTTGGTATGATAATACGGGCTGTATCTAAAATTACAAAATTGTGAAGTGTTTTGTGAAGTGTTTTCGGAATGAATAGTTTTTTAATATTTTCGATATTGAAATTATGTGGAAAATTAAAGATTGGCAACTTGGATAAAAAGGAAACCCTCTATCGGCATAAGAGAACAGCACATACAATAAACATATTGTTGAATACAGTACACTTCGGTTTGGTTCATCTTTGCATTCTTTCAAGGTTTCTGTGAAATACTTATACAACTATTTGTCCTTTCACTAATGTTTTTAAGAAATACTGACAATAAATTGACATTTAAAAAAAGAAATGGAACAGTTGGACAATAAATTATTTACTCCACTCCGCAATAACAGACTGCCTTGTTTAAGTTAGCGATAATGAGATTGCATTTCGCATTGCTGATACCTATCTACCTACGCGGATAGTCAAATGATTAGTTAAAGCCCAAACGGCTGTACACATTTTGTTACTTATAATTCACACATTTGGTTAGAAAGTGTCTGTTACATTTTCTTCGAAGTTGATACTGCGAGATATTTTTTCCCGCAAACTTGATACTGTGAGATATTTGATGTCGTAAATTTTTGGATAGTTGTTTTTTAATCTGTGTTCAAGTACGCCACTGTTGAAAGGGACTAGAAATAAAATATCGACTTCAGCCATCACTTTATCAATAGAATTTGATACAATAAATAAAGAAACTGGTCATTTTGATAAATTTTATCGCTTTATTGTGACTGATTCATTTACTAGTAACTTATTCAGTTCCTTTATTTGAGTGTACAGTCATGATTCGTCTAGGGAAAACGTTAGCGATTTTGAAAAATCATAAAAGTTTTCCCGCGAAAAGAAAAGTTTCGATGTACATCAAAGAAGAAATCAGGGATGCTCTGAAACAAAAAAAAGCTGTAGTTGCCCTCGAGTCCACCATCATTACGCATGGAATGCCCTTTCCCGAAAACGTTAATTGCGCCCTACAAGTTGAACAAATAGTCAGACAACAGGTAAATATTGAAAATTTCAAATTATGTACGTCATAGGCGTCCAGTTCGCGAGACGATATTTTTGGATTTCAAGTGAATTGAGGTTAGGTCACTATGCCGAAAAAACTGATTGTTTCATTTCGTTCCTTATTGTGTGTGTACAAAGAAATTGTTTCCTTCCTGAACTCTATATATTGATAGTACAAATCGATCTTGATAGATAATAAACTTAAATTTGTTTTATCCATTGGCGCCCAATTGAAAATTACAAAAGTACCAGGTTATCCTAATATTCGAACCTAACGTATCCACTACAACACATTCAAAAAATGTAATTATATTCACTTGCTAGGGCGCAGTTCCCGCTACCATTGCCATTGTAAAGGGTAGAATAAAAATAGGCCTGTCTCCGGAAGAAATTGTTACATTGGGAGATACGAAGTCCAGCGATCCAGTAAAAATCTCAAGAAGGGATCTGTCTTACGCTATTAGTAATAAGAGAAATGGAGGTACCACCGTCTCCGCTACAATTATTGCAGCCACCAAAGCTGGAATACCTATTTTCGCTACTGGAGGTGAGACATAAAATATATTTTGGTGCAGTTAGGAAATGAATCAGTAACATATTTACTAATTAATTGAAATGGAAACGTTTATTGGTTATATTTAGAGGATTCATCTTTTTTCTTTTTAGGAATCGGAGGTGTCCATAGAGGCGCTGAATCCACATTCGATATATCAGCAGATTTAATCGAACTGGGAAGAAGCAAAATCGCTGTCATTTCTAGTGGTGTTAAATCTATTCTTGATATTTCAAAAACATTGGAGTATTTGGTGGGTTTTATTTGAATCATTCTTTTTGAAAAGTTGAACGTGTTATTTGCTCATTGTGTGTGTCTCCTAACACAAGATACTTAACGAATTCATTCATTTTTTCTAGGAAACTCAGGGAGTTTTTGTAGCTACTTTTGGAAAAACAAATGACTTCCCAGCATTCTACTCAACAAAAAGTGGATTCAACGTTCCATACTGTATACAAAGGGCAGAAGAGGCAGCTGCAGTCATAAAGTGTCACAACGAACTGAACTTGCAGTCTGGTATGCTGTTCGCTGTACCTATACCTGAGGAATATGCCTTTGATCCTGAGATTATTGAAGGTTTCATTGAAAAAGCCTTGAAGGAAGCAAATTGTGATGATGTAAGAGGCAAAAATATCACTCCTTATTTACTGAGTCAAATCGCCAAATTGACGGGGGGCAAGTCGCTCGAGAGCAGTATCCTTTTTTATAAATCGTTACAGAATATAAGACAAGACTTTTCTGTGTTCAATATTGAGATTACTAGAAGATGTTGGAAACTGAGATAGATTTGGTGTTAGGAGTGGGATATTCATTATTTCAGAATAAGTTTTCATTTCAACAAATTAAGTATTGTATGTTTTTTAGATGATAAGTTTTTGAATATTCGATAAATTATATTTTATTTTTGTTATTGATTTGCACTTCAACATTGATCATGCTTTGTCAAGAAGTTGAGCTTATGACAATAAAGCATATTAATCATTATTGTTAGTAACTATCTGATCAAATCTTTATTAATTAAATACATATTTTGTAATAATGATTTTCCTTGACATATATAGATGTGGCTCTGATAAAGAATAATGCCAGAGTGGCTGCAGATATTGCTGTGGCACTGGCAGCGTTAGAAGATGGAGCACAAACAGGAAATGACGCTTCGCAGTTCAACTTGGAAGGAAGGCCGGTAATTTTATTTACTTATGTTTTCAACTAGGTATTTATGTTAGAACTTGAATAATTCAAAATCATTTCAAAGGTAATGTGACAGTACAGAAAATGTGTATTAGATTCATTTCAGGAGTAATTTTTTAGTTATTTTCGATCTCTGGTAATACAGTTTTTGTATAAAATATTTTTTTTTGTTTCTTTGGGTTTGCCTTCATTTGAATATAAATGATTATTTAAACTACATCACTTTTATTTATTTGAGAATCTCGAAGACTTACTATTCCTGACAAACTGTACTTTCTTTGAAATTAACAATCTTTTTTTCAGGTAAATGCAGTAGTAGTAGAAAATATTTACGGCAAGTGACATAAATGGAAATCTGTTTTTCCTCATACTTACAATCGGGGCATCAAAATCTGCACAACAAGGTAAAAATTGAAGGACCACATTTCTTCTGCAACCTTTCAAATAATTTTCTCCGAGTTACTGCCTACAGAAAAAACTCGCTTTTTTTACTAACAGTACACTTTATTAAATGAGTATATACACAATCTTTTACATGTTTCAACATGGAATATGTTTATCAACAGTTATACAAGTACAATCTATAATCGCGGAGTCGCGAAAGAAAAATCGGGAAGCTTTTAAAAAATTCGACAATTTGGTCTGTTGGGCCTAGATCTTTTTCTTAGAAATGGACTCTCGAGTGTGACATAACGATTAAAATTAAATTGCGATGCCACAGCCGGGAGTCTCTCCTACTGAACGGTTTTCCCTACAAAAATTTTGTTCCTTCCAAATAATTGATAACAAATTTCCATTTTGTGTGCAGTTTTTGTTCTCGTTGTTTTGGAATAAGAGAGGATTTAAAAAAATATGTCTAAATTATTTTCATCTGCGGTACTCAAGAAATACATCTGAATTTAAATTTGAATTGAAATGTTTCAGTTTATTCTGTATAGTTTTCTATTGTTCAAAATATTCTTTGAGGTTTTATTCTTTCACCAATTCATTTTTTTCCCTTATCTTTTACTCAATACCTATTTCTTTTCTTTTCCACTATCATATTTGCCAATCAAGTAAGATATTACATATGAAAACACTTTTCAAAACCTCAAAATGTTTGATCAAACCCATTTTTGAAACGATAACTGTGAGAACACTGTAGAGCAAATCGTTCAGTATTTGGAAGTCAAATATGGAAAGATTTGAGGTGTAGTTGAAATTCCCGACATGCACGGGAATTCGAGGCACGAAAAGCGTACTGAAATCTTGGAATTCATAAATATTTTGACATAATTTTCTAATATTTATACCATATTAATCTAGAAGTGAAGCCAGAATGTATTGTAACACATTTTTCTGTATATATTTTTCCTGTATTTTCATCATTATGGATAATGTTTTACTTTACTAGAGAGTTATTTTATTTGGAGATATTCTAGACATTTTCAGAATATATTTCAGAAATAATTGTCTTCACCTCCTCAGTGTATTAGTAATTTTTCATAGGGACTGGCCACTTTTTACAAATCCCGTAGGGAACTAGTTCACTCCAGAAAACTTCTGCATGGACAGAGTATAATTTGGTGTAAATTTCTCAGTACATAACCGGGCACAAGCCTATAGCAAAGGTTTCTCTGTCCAATGTTGGGGGTAACATTAAAACTCTATTATTGGTATCCATAATTCCAAAAAATTATGGGGAATTGTCCTTCCTCTGAAAATGGTAATTTCTTCAATCACTGTTTTTTGTCTGCTTCTTATGTTATGAAGGTTTCTTTTATTTACCCACACCAGCCATTATTGCCTAAGTTTTCCCGTATAGAATATTGGACAATCCACTACAAAGTGCTTCACATGAAATATGTGTCACACTTGTTGCATTTCTCACATTCACTATTCTTCATCATGAGATGGTATATTTGTCTTGAGCAGTCAATTCAGTGCCATGAAAAAATGACCTGGTTTCTCTTCTTGAACTCCCCTATATTGAAGATGCTTCAATACTGGCGTTTATTTATAATGATTTATTTGTGTCACCGGCCAAATACATTTAGTGTACTTTTTAATGTTTTATTTTAGGACCATATATAGGACTGAATCTATTCTTTGTGTTTGCTTATTCAACCCACACGTGATGGTATCCACATAAGTTTCATACTTTTTTTTGTAACTTCAAGTGACTTTCTTTTGACATATTGAGGTGTTGGATGTTTAACATCAAATTGGTTTACTCCTTATATGAATCTCAGCGAGTCAAGGTAAATCACTGTTTCTTATGTGATGACATCATTTGCAGTATGAATATTGCAAGATATTGAAAGGATATAACGAAGATTGAAACTACAGGATTCTTTGAACTGGTCGTTACAAGCTAAGGAGAATTAAGCTATGGGTATCAAAACAATATCTATCTGCTCAGGTCTACATTCTCGTCCGTTCATAAATGATTTTATCAAAGCGATAGATAATTCATATACCTGAGCAGGTATGGTCATATATCGTTGTAGAAATTCAAACTCTTTTAAATTTCTTCGCAAAAAATTATATCTTTAGAGGAAAATTTAAAGTTTCAAGGTTGATATCAGGTACAGGTACATTCATCATATTCTTTTACGGGATCAACCATAATACGTTAAACATACCTTGTATCTTTGAAATAAATCCAGAATATGTTGCATATGTCAGTTTTAATTAATATGCCACATATTTCAAAACTCTTGTTGAGATTTTCATTACTCACTTTTAAAATTAGTAGATAATGTTGAAACTTGTACAAATTGAATTCCAATTGAGCAGAGAATCATTTGTTACATTACACTGGCTACACTGATCACACTTGTTGGAACTAAATACTAATGCAAGGGGTAAAAAAACTTACTTTATGCGAGTATCTGCCGAAATAATCACACGAAATGATACAACTATTGGTGTGTGTCCATTTGATGCACATTTTTCTTTCGAGGCGAGGCACTAGTTTAATACAATTTAAGCTCATATAAACACACTTATCTTTTGAAGCGTCCTGTTGTTTTTTCCGTTATTTTTCGACAAATTATCTCCGCTTGCACTGGAGTCTTCATTGACACTACTTATCATCGAAACAACTGGCAGAATATCAGCACCTGGAGCGGATGACGGCTGCAAAAGATTTTCATTATTGAAACTAGTATCAACGGTTTTGCGTGGACGCTAATTATTTACAAACTACATATTTTACTCACCTTACCAGTGATCGTCTTCGAGTGTTGAATGAAAATTATTGGAATGCTATTTCGCAGCTGCAAGGTCCTTGGCCAGCCATTCGTTTGAGGGGATTCTATATATTTTTTTCGCAGATTATAGTTTGAGTACTATCGGTTAGGTCAGATATATATTCCAATTTTTTTGCAGACCGGGAATCACCAAGCCACTGATACGGTTTTCTTTTGATCAATACTAAAGGCTATGAGTTAAAGAATATTTTTTTATACCACTACTCTATCACATTCCTTTACTTTTAAATACAACGATTATTATAGTTGGCTGTTTTTCAATATATACACTGTACAATTTTTTTTTAATTTAGCAAAAGACCGTACATGTAGCTTGATGATTTTCTTCTGACGAAAAAGCTGAGATCTGTTGTGGTAATTAGGTTTGGATGGTTTCAGTAGGAAAACATCTATCGCTTTAGGAGGATAAGGTAATAACTAAAATATATGGTCTGATATCACTGAAATTTTGTGCTTTTTTGTTGGTATCCTTCAAAACTCAACTCATTCTGTCGATTTAAACATCTTTTGTGCGAATATTAATTACTTTAGATGACCAGTTGAGTTTTATTTATACAAGAAAAGGATATATAAATATTGTCCTGCAACTTTCTGTTCAACTCCAATATAAAATAGGCCTAGAAAATGTATTGTGCAAATTTAATTCGTATATCCCAGTCTCACTGTTATAGAAATATTCATTACCTCTTCCTCAAATAAATGGCGTATCAATTTTGGATGTGATGCAATTATAGAAAAAAAAAATCATATTATGTGTGCTTAACTGATCTAAAATTGAATTATCGAATGAATCAATATTATTTTCAGTATTCAAAGCTGAACCAAAAGAAAAATCAAAAAGGCACATTTTTTCCATAGATTATTGTACTGAAGAGCATTTTTAACTTTAACAAAAATTATTAACGCTCTGATATGTTTAATGCTTCAAAGATGTTCAATGTTTTGGCATTGGTAAATGATTAGTAGTTTGAAAATTTTCAAAGTTTTTATAGCTGACCATTTACATTTCACATATTTTTTGTTGGACTTGATCATCACATCTGTGGGTCTTTTGTTTTCCATTATTATTACCGAAAATGTATTTGTGCAGAGTCCAGGAATATCACTTATAAAGCAAAAAATATAAAGTAAGTTTTTGTGCCTGAAGATATTTTGAGCTCATATACCTATATTTTTATATCGAATAGTATTCGTTGAATTAAAACAAACTTAGTGTGTGTGAATCTTTACCATTCGATAACGAATGGTGAAGGTTCATTACTCTTTCTGTTATTTCAATATAATATCTGAAAAATATTATTAAATTCATGTATTCCGAAAATTTTTTCCTTACTGCTACCCCCAAACCGAAACCACAACACGCGACTACACTTTAGCGGAAGACGCGTTTTCGAAACCTCAGCAGGGGTCTTCCCTGACCTTCCTCCGCGGTTTGTGCATGAAAATATCCTCCAACGGCGTCGCCAGAGGACCCTTTTTGACTCGGCCCCATCTGCCGCGGCTGAACAGACCCTCCAGCCGATACTTTAGTCAAATGTTTTCGCGACTTCTGTACTCCCTCATCTCGTAATTGTTGTTTCCTTAATATAATTTGTTTTTCCATTGGAAATTTTGTAATTTTTCCTTGAAATTGCATCCATAACTCTTGAATATGGTAATATCAAATGATGGCCAGTACGATTTTGTCATTGAAGATCAATCAAAAATCTTCTATCCTGAATGTTTGATATTTAATTATACTTGAGCGAGTCGCAGTTCTGGTGTTTGGAAACAGTGTTTGCTTTCGATTTATTCTGAGATATGCATCACGGTTTGGAAGTAAAGTATTGTGCACAATTCTGGAGGTAAGGTGAATGAATATTTTTGTGATGCTTTTGTAAAAATATTTTCAAAAGGACGCCAGCGACTAACCTGTTCCACACCTCCGTGAAATCGTCGTCGGTGCCGAACTCTTGATGGAACCTGATACGTAGGGCCGGCTTTAGCTCGAGGCAGATCCTCTCGAAGCGGAAGGCCCAGAAGGCGCCAAGCACGACGTCGCCGAAGAGCAGTACGAGCAGCAGCAGCCAGTAAGCGTTGAGCAACTTCTCGGAGAGGCGGAGCGCCGCCATGCAGCCGAGCAGCTGGAGGGCGCCCCCTTGAGTCGCCAGAGCGAGGTACACGTACAGGAACGAGGGCTGGTAGAGAGTTAGCGAGGGGATCAGAGATCGGCGGTAGTCGAAGAGGACGGTCCTGGCGGCCGCCCCGCCGAACGCTATCGCTCCTATAATAATAACAACTATATAGGTACATATTTGTTTTGGGTATTACAGATCGTCTTCGAGTGTTGAATGAAAATTATTGGAATGCTATTTCGCAGCTGCAAGGTCCTTGGCCAGCCATTCGTTTGAGGGGATTCTATATATTTTTTTCGCAGATTATAGTTTGAGTACTATCGGTTAGGTCAGATATATATTCCAATTTTTTTGCAGACCGGGAATCACCAAGCCACTGATACGGTTTTCCTTTGATCAATACTAAAGGCCCGGTACCAGTTCCCATCGCCCCCCATGCACCTGTAACAATAAGAGAAAAGTTTATTGGAGAAATTGATTAGTCTATTACTGTTCATTTGCAATAAAATACTTGAAGGACTAGATATCATTCGAAATGAGAAAAATAATATTAAAACACCACTCGCACGACATTAACTTTTTTTTTTAATATATTTCTATGTTAATGTTACTACTATTTATTTGTTTATATTTATAAGGTTTAGTAATTATCATTGCCTTACTTTTACTTACATTTAACTTCAATTTATTCATTTTCAAATATCTATCCATATTTTTCAGCACATCATTTATTTTGATCACTGCTCTATCGATATTCCCATCACTTACTGATATCAGAGTATCATCTGCGAATATATGAATGTAGTCACATTCAACATATTTTTCCATATCATTAATATACATTAAAAACAATAGAGGGCCCAAAATACTACCCTGAGGAACTCCATGATTCACTGTAATAGCTGACGACATTACGTCACAAATTTCTGTTGTCTATTTTCTATTTGTAAGGTATCCTCTGATCCAATTGAATACTGTACCCTCTACACCATATTTATTGACTTTTTTTTAATAATATCTCTTCATTTACTGTTTCAAAAGCCCGTTTTAGATCCAGTGATACTGCTATAGTATACAGATGATTACTCATTTTTTCCTTCTATTTAGTGACAGTGAGTTGTATAGCTGATTCACACGAGTGCTTTGATCTAAAGCCAGACTGATTAGTGAATAGCAAATTATTTGAGTTAATACATTCTAATAACTGTTGATAAACTACTGTCTCTAATAGCTTTTCTTCAAATGGCAAAGAATTGATTGGTCTAAACTCACCACTTTTACTAGTATTTGCAACCAGTTCGATAGGTGTAACAGTGCTGGTTTTTAATTCACCGGAAAATGTGCCATTTTCCACTGATACATTCACAAAGTGGCACCACACATGACCAATAACATCAAAGCTATTCTTCACAACTTCACTGTTTAGTTCATAAATTTGACTTCCTTTATTTTCTAGATTTTTCATAGTTATACCAAACTCATGTATAGATACTAATTTAAAATTACTGAATTTTTTTTCACTCCACTGTATATTAGGGAGGATCTTGTGACACCTCTTTCGATATACCGATGAAAAACGGTGGACAGACAAACGTGATTCCTTAGAGAGGCCTTCTAGATCACCTGATATGATCCCCTCAGATTTATTGTGAATATTCGTGAAAATGAATGGTTTTTTAGAATTCGTTGAATCACAAAACTGATTTTTATATGAAATGAAGGAATACATATTTTATCAACGGTTGACGTTTGTTTTATGGTCCCATCTGCCAAATAGCAATGTTCTTCGCCTAGAATCATTTGACAATTACAGTACATGTTTGTCTTGACAGAACGTTGTTTGTTGTAAGAGATATGTATTTTATGAAACATTTACTGTTGATGAATATTTCTGAGGCAGATATCAAACTTCCTTACTGCCAGAAGAAGTGAATGGTGAACTTCTTTGGGATAAAGGATTGAGTTATGATTGAAATATATATTGAAATTATTGTTTGTTTTGCATATTTTTGGAAAAAATTCAACAATTGCTGATTACTCAGAATCGGTTGGTCCGATTTCGAATCGAGGCATAACAAGACGACCTTTCCATTAAAAAAAGTTGATGTCACATTATTATTGTTTTTCTTATTGAGAAGTATTAAAAATTATTTTCATCATTACCTTTGTTCGACTACAATATCAAGAGATAAAGAGGAATATTTTTTAAATACGCACTGTATGTAATATAATTTGTTTTTCCATTGGAAATTTTGTAATGTTTCCTTGAAATTGCATCCATAACTCTTGAAAAAGACCGAAATCGATTTCGGAGGAAAGTCGTTTCCAGAAATATTCGGTGTGGAGAGAAGTTTCTAGGAAGTTTCATCATAGATTTCGGATTAAGGTTCGGAGTAAACCTGATAGCGCCGTGACGAGAGATTTATATATAGTCATATCACAATATATCACGGTCCTCGCCGGACCACACAAACAAGGATATTCATGAAATGATAAACCGGACGAATTGAAGTATTTTTATTGTTCATCGTAAATGCTAATACAATTATATAAATTGGTGAAGAATATTGCTTGGTTTTGATTTCGATTCGACGACATTTCACAATGTACAATGAAATATGAATCTGTTGTTAACGAATCGAATGAAATCGCGATTCCTGATGGAGACGCATCCATGACATATCATATGTATGAGGAAAATAGTCCCAAATATGGTATGACAGGATCCGTTTTATCTCCCTAATAGGATGTCTTGAAAAATTTCATCCTTTATATATACTTATGAATCCCAGTTTTGTCTTAGCATTTGGCATTTTCGTTGAAAACTAAAACTGGAACATCTGGCGTAGAATGAATCCAAAAAAAAGCACTGTTCCTAAACACCAGACCTGTCACACACTTCTTGAGGCGCGTTTCACCAACCAAGTTGGAACCTTCAGGAGATAAATTGAAATAAGGTTGTTTTTTTACACGATTGTGATACCCAATGACATCCTAAGGATGATTTGACGTCCCTTATTGTTTCCAGATTGGGCATCGTACAATCTGGGTACCTATTCACGACTTATACATATATAAAATACATTTCCTTTTACTTTCAATTATTCAGATGCTGTTGTTGATTACACTCTCATTTTCGGGGAAGCAACCAACATCCTTGATTGATGACCACTCCATGTCTGGCCTTACGCACGAATGAAAATTTATACAGGAGAACTCCCCAAATGAAATATCAAAAGCTTTTACGTCAGCCGGCTTTCCGCAGCATTTTTCGTCATTTACTTTTACGATCTTTTTACATTTTAGTTCTCGCCTTTGATTTTTTTCATTCCTGTTTATTCGGCACGTCTGCGCGTGCATTCTTTAATTCGAAAGTTAAAGCGGCGACTAAGAAAACAATAAAAAGTTCTACAGGAAATTAGTATCGGTCACGCAACTTTGGACTTGGAATAGTATCCCATTTGTCACAATTTGCAGAGAGTGCAAATTAACACTTTTGAAGGAGATTGTGCTGAAAAGAGTATTTCTAGCTACTAACAAAAAATCATACTTTTATAATGGAAAATAACCATTTTGATTTAGGGTTATATAGGTACTTTGTTGAGAATACTCTCTCTTTCCAATCTCATACAATATTATTACAAGTAGAGTACAATCTACTACATCAGGAACTAAATAAGGATAATCCTGATTCGTACATTAGAATTTTTTGAAATACTTACGAATAGATTGCAATGGAATACGATGTTTCCCAAACATATTTTATTTTCGATGATGTACTAGATGAGGGAAGGTTACACTTAGTATCCTAATAAAGTGAACGTTTGGGCAGGCATACTAAATAACAGCCGTAATGCATTTGGACTGCGGAATATTGCGAATCAATATACTGCAGATGAAGAAGAAATTGCACGAGAGGAGCGCCGTGTTCAGTGTAATCAGGTCTATTGGTTTTGCAGCAGATCTTCTGTTTTGGCTATCGAATTACTGTTCTGTTATACTGTTTGGAAGTTAAAATCAATTGATGATTCAGTTTAATTTGTGTAGTTATCATTAAATGACTGGAATTAGTGGAAATTACCAAGCATGTAGTTATATTTTCTACGCGTTTTTGTATCAATTTACTTTTATTCTGATACAAAATTTACTGCTAAGCATGGAAACGACCAGATAGATACTGTTCGACTTTGTGCTTGACAAACACAATATTAAAAAGATATATTAGTTAATGTAACTAAGCTAGTATCTCAACACAACATTCGTTAATTCTCCCAGAAAATATAACAAATCATGGGAATGCGTTGTCCATCAAGGAAAAAATTTTACGTTTCTTACTGTATTAAACATAATATCAATAGCGCATCGCGACTAAACAGTGCGTGAGCACAATCAGATCATAAAAAACAAGGAAATATCCATCTGATTCATTAATTCCATCACACCCTGACACATTGGTGGGCTCGCCTATGAATAATTTATATAAAACTCTAAGAATTCCTTCAATTTTATTCAGCGCGATAAAAAAACTGTAGAAAGTGCATCTGTTTATCACGGACGATCTATATAAATACCTCAGCAGCCCTCCAAGAAGCATCAAACGTCTCCCAAGCGTTTCTTTAACTTCACACTTCTTTTATTTCTTATTTTATTATTTTTCGACGATGAAATTGCTGGTCTTCGCAGTGTTCGCCGTTTTGGCCGTTGTATCCGCCGTTGCATCCCCATCCGGCCTCTGGGGAGTACCCGGAGCAGTGGTAGTAGGACCCGCAGGAACCATCGTGGCAGGTGGGCACGGTGTTGGAGTCGTCGCTCCAGGCTGGGGATGGCCTTGGGCCCATGGAGCCATTTGGGGTTAGTGAAGTATTACCTACCTGGGGGTAAGGAAGGAGTTACGTAATTCAGCAATGAAGGCCTACCTCTTTCATGATTTGTGCTCAAATAAGGATTCGAATGCATTTTTCATCGAATAAATGACAGAATATCATAAACGTTTTTGTTTTATTTTTCACTGGATTCTATATCGTTTGGCTGTACTATTAATGTTTTTAACTTATCAATTGTTTACTTAGGATGTACTGTTTGGAACCCTTGGTGTAGATCAGCTAGTGATCACTTGGTGATCACTAGCGAAACGTTATGCTGCAATTAAAAAAAATACAGAACATTAATAGTTTCTAGAGGTTTTCGAGATATAGTTATAGTTTTGCCAAAAACTTGCTGCAAATATTCGTTGAGAAACTATAACCTCATAGTTACCCACAAAACAAT